GACACACACACATTCATACATGCATGACATGTGTGCACATTTTCGTACGCATGGATACACTTTATGTAAGCAAAATAACACGGACGTAAGAGACATCACTCTTTGGATAGACTAAACATACGCACGTGAATCATTTTTTATACGTGTAGGCCACACTGTCAAGCATACACTGAAGCTTACACACACATACTTATGCATATGTATGTGCATGCATGAATAGCATAAAGTATTATAAGCTGTGATTGGGAGGGAATTTGATTGAATTAGATAGAAGGAGTAGAAGAGAAATGAAATTGCTGAGTGCTATTTATATGCAAAAGAAAATGTATAAATACAGCATCAATTAATTTCTCACTGAATACAAATAGTTATGCATTACATATACGACACAAGCAAGCAATACATCACAATTGCATCATATGAATATGCAGATACGTGTATATGAGAGCTCATATACACGTATTTGCACGTGTATGCAATAGTATTAGAATATATCTGTGCATGCAACAGTCTAGTGAAAAAAATAGCTCATAATAATAAATTCCATGGCGCTGTAGATGTATAAATTTGAAAAAAACTGTTAATTAATTGTATTTAAATTTAAACTTTCTGAATTTTTGTATATTCTTGTTCGTATAATGTCAAGAGGTAATAAACACTCGCTACTTTTATTATACATTTTGACGATTCTTATGATTTCTACTTGCTTAGTTATTTAATTATGAAAGTGCAGTTACTGCACTAAATTTATGTATCATTCATACATTAGCTTATCAGCAAGTTTTGATAAAAATGGTTTAAAAAATTAAAAAGCTAAAAATGTGTGAATAATAGTGATAAAATGGTAAATAAAACAGTAAAAAAATGATACAATAATGATAAAATCAGCAATTAACATAATAATAAGGTGAGTATTCCAACAGTGTGGTACAATTACTTGTCAATAACATCAGCTGATAAAGAAAATGCCCAATGTACAGTAATAAAGATGACCTTTAAATAACATATGATGATAATGACGAGAAGGAAATTTCAATTTACATGTGTAGAAACAATCGTCATTGGTAACAATACAATTATTAAAAATATAAATACTACAATTATATATTTAATTTAAGTTAAGTGGTCGAAAATTTATAGATGACCCAAATAAGTATTAAGGTTCAACACTTATATTCAATCAGTCTCTAATCTTTTTCATTTTTAATAATGATAAAGTGGGAATTACAGCAGATAGAATTACAACACGGCCATAGCAATTTCAGCTTAAATGACAACAAGTGTGATCTTGAATTCGATTGTGTTTAATAATATTATTTTCACGCAATCATTCTCAGATCACATTTATTCAAACGTTCAGACATGCTGCTTGTTTGCATTTAAATTTCAATAATTTTGCTATTAGCAAATACTTAATCAGAAATGCATGCACTATGTGGTGGCAACTTTTTTAATTTATTGTTTAAAAAAAGGTGAAAGTTGAAAGTTGAAAGTTGAAAAAGTTTTCCAAAATGTGAGGATAAAATCGTGCAAAAAAAGATCGAAGAACATAAAAGATAAAAATAGTTGAAGACTGAGAAATATCGAGCAAAAAGCTCATTTTATCTTAAATTCCGAAGCTGGACAACAATTGTTGTCTGTCTAACTTGGATATTAAGTTGAGTCTAACTATTAAATTGAGTCTAACTCGAAATAATGGATAGATATAATTGAGAAAGGCAAGATCATCATCTCTTTATTATTATATTTGCATATAAACTTAGATGCTTTGCATCCAATGATACACGAATTATATATAATTTTGCGATCGAAAAAATAAAAAAAGATCACTAAAAAACAAGAAATGAAAACTGCATTGAAAGAGTTCACATTATATAAATATTTACGCAGCAAAACCTCTCTACAAAGTTCGATAATTGAAAATAAAAAGAATCTTTCTGAAACTGTCATAACATCGTTGCAGATGACATGCAATGAGCATTACTTTATTCGAGAAAACGAGTGTTAATTTTATATATTCCATTTGTGAATACCACTTACTTCAATTATTTTATATAATCGATTGTTTGTGGAATTTAGCTAAAGTTAGCTAATTAATTAATCTATTATACAAAGTTTTGCAGTAAATTACTAGCAAAATATTTGCTCAAAATTTGACGCATTAATTTTTTAAGGTCAAAGTTTATTTTACTGACCACATCAATTTTCAATCTCTCAAAAACAATTCCACAACAAATAATCTGCACAAATTATCTCTCAATATATTATGCTACAAATATGCATAAAAAAAGACACTCAACAACATTTTGCCTGCAAAATTTTTTTACTTATATTAAGTAAAAATCTTCGCAAGTTTTTTTTAAACTTAATTTTTGATCCAAAACAACATGAAATCTCTCCGTATGAAATGTAATATTCCCTAGGTATTCCTTTTCTATTCCAATCTATTTCTTTTCGAGTTTGAACGTATTCCTTCAAAACTGTTCTATTCTTGTTCTCTCACTTTATTATACCATTTCGAACAAAAAAAAATACAAACATAACAATTCATCACTTGCAGTAAATTTGAATTACTTTCCAAAGATTTGCACTACAATATTTAGCAAATTAGCAAAAAAAAATAATTTAGTGCAAAGAATAGTGAGAAAATTGTAATAAAGCGCAAGAAACCAACGATTACTCACTCATCGCTATCTGAATCCTCCACTTCTCTTCTTTACTTTCTTTCATTCTTTTTCCCAGTACCACATCTGTTCTGTTCGCAATGAAGCAAATAAAATTTGTTATATTTATATATATAACAAATTATTACATATATTAATGTATAAATAATTAATATATGTAATAAATCATTATCACATACATTAATTATTTATACATTATATATATATATCAGTAAATTCATGCTCAAGTTAGGAAATTTTTTAATGAATTGCCGAACTTGTTGAGTTGATCTAGAATATTTTAGTATGTGATGACTGATGCTTGCCAAGCAAAATTATATCTCAAAGAATGTTACGAACTGATTACTATTCAATCCTTTGCTACTTCCTTCTCACTATATTTCATTTAATATCTCAATAAAATTCATAAGAACTTCATGCATACTATATCCCTCATTTTCTTCACATAAACTCAATTATTATTTGATTCATTACATTTAATAGTTATATTTAAAATCTAAATAAATTACTATTGCACAAATAATTAAAAAAAAAACTTATGATACTGTATTTTACTTGAACTTGAGCAGTAATGAAGATGCGCGAATGCAATTCTTCTGTAATTAATATTAAGAAGTAATTTTAAGTAAACAACAGTAGGAATAATGATGCAGAATTAAAGAGAAATTCATGATCACGACCTATTTGGAGATTTTTTTATTGGCTAGTTAAAAAATGTATTTTTCCCTGCGCGAAAAGTGACCAAAAAATTGGTAGTTTTTATTTAGTAACAACAAATAGTAAAATAACGATTAGTTCGCCTGACATTGTTACCACTTTTTAATCTGTTCGTAAATCCAAAAGGTTATAACAACGTTAAAAAATAAAAATAAATTCCTTTTTCAGAGGTAAAAATTAGCAAAATCCTTCATTTTCCCCATACGCAAGTACATATTACTTTCAACAAGTCTCTACGCTAAATGTAGTACGTCTTAAAGCGATTAAATAATTATAAAGTATTAGCCAAACAAAATTACTGCAGTCATATTATTAGGCTCTAAATCTGAGCCAAATGAATGCACTAGCCAAGTATCGACTAATTCTTGCTAGCAAGAGGATAAGAGCTAAAAATATACAAAACCCTCTAGCTCATTTATTTTTAATTTCAATTTTATGTATCAAATTTTCCTGAATAAAATATTTTTTTTAATATTTTATGAAATGCAAACAAAAAACATGTGTCACTTTTGAATACTTTTTTAGCAGCCATAGTAGCTATTTTAACTGCTACAGAGCAAATATCAAGCACAAAATTATTGTTATTGAGAGCTATCAATAGAAATAGAAGCATAAAGAGTTAAACGTATGGGTACAGTCTAACCATATTACACGAGAAGCATAAGAAATTCACACAACATCTGAAAATCATTTTGCAAATTATCAACTTCATGCATCACACATCAGACACATCATGTATAAACATACCTTACCTCATAAACATGAAAATAAATTTAAGCACTTTTAAATAATTATTTTATCCAACTTGAAAGCCTGTGCAATGAGAAGAGTAAGTCTCAATTTATCTAACAAGGAAGGAAGAATCTACCAATATAGCTTCATAAAAAGTTTATCAAAATGCAAATACATGACATCCCTCTCTCCCCACTCCCTTTTTACAACTGACGGGATTAACAATGACAGCTGCCTTCTTTACTTGCCTAAAACATTTTAAGAATTATCAGACAGAAAATAGGTTCCATTAATTTTGATTAAGAAGAAAAACCCACTGAAATTCATCTACTCGATTAAACTGAAAATTCATTTAAAAATACACAAATTATCGACCAAAACAACAAATGAAGAAAAATACTGAACAAAGTGCAAGCAACCAATTTTTAATATTCCCACTAAGAGTAGGCAATTTCAGAATGTTGAAACCTACAGAACATTCATGAAACCTACAGAATTTATCACTACCACTTCAGATAGTGCCCCTGTTATCAATATTTGTCTAATATAACACAAAATCAAGAGTCTTGTCATATTAGACAAAGTAATATACAAATGACATTAAGAATACAAGAATTCATCAATTAATGGTGCCTGATTAGTTTAATTAAAATTTTAACACGAAAAGCCGAAAATCTATAACTTTATTTTACTTTTATTCATGTTTTGTTGAAAGTTAAATAAGTGGAAAAAAATATTTTCTTCAAAAATGGACAATTCATTACATCGCTCATTTTTACAAACCTTTCTAAACGTAAAATGCACTCGTTACTTTCAACTACTCATTTATTTAACTTTCAAATAAGAATCTGGAGCAAAGTTCCAGAACAAGTGGAACAAACTTCATGAGAAAATCAAACCAACAAAAGTGAATAAGACAAGTACAAAGTAATATATGTAAATAAATCAACGACTTTAAAAAATTGATGCTATTACATTATTGAAGCATGTCTTCATTCATTTCATGGGCTAAATTTTGAACTGATGTATCAGGATCTTCCGCTTCGATGATTGTGCCATGCCACCACCACGAATTGAGCAAATCATCAGTACCGTTCCGAATATTTGCAATCTGTACATTTCGTGATCCTGATTTTATCTCCACAACATTATCTGCTGGCTTCGGTTTCAGTACCGCTGGTACATCATTTCCAAATGTCGTGAACCAAAAGTCAATCAGAAGCCCTCTTAGACGTGGTTCCTGAAAGTATATGCAGGTAAACTAATCACTTGAATAATAAACAGAAAAATAAAAATTTGATGAAACTAACGATCAACAAAAAAACGAAAATTTAATGACAATTTTTTGACGACGCTGCAATCTGCAGATAGTAATCTCTAACACGGACAGCTATGTAGACTACCTTATGACATCCTATAGTGTACTGTTTTCGTTTATGGAAAAACTACACCGAACAGTAAATAAATAAATAATGACTCATAAAGTAGAGAAGATGACAAATGCGTATCAGTTTAAATCAGATTTTTCGCTATTTAAATAAAGATCTAAAATGTGAAAATTTAAATCATCAAAAACCGTGGTAGCATCACTAATTTGAGTCCACAATTTATTTGCTATGCCAGTCACTAAATCCTTCCACAATCCATCTTCTTCAGTGCTAAAAAAATCACTTAATTTAAGGGCAATATCGAAGAGTGATAATAATATTTTTTGAAGATTGATGTAAATTAAAAACAACGCACTAGAAATATGCTACTCAAAATTAATGCTTTTAGTTAACATCATTTGTGTAAACATTTTGTTCGTAGGTTTCAAATAAAAAAGTATAGTTTATATGTACCGACAAAAAAAACTTCAAACCAAACCGGAACATATATGTTTGGTTACTATATTTTAGAAATAAAGGCTTAAATTTTGTTTAAATTTAAATTTGATAGGTACTGATTAATTTCTGACTGCGAAGCAAACAACAGCTGAAGAAAATATTTATAATCAGTTAAACCACATTTTATCAACTTATTCTGCTATAGAAAATAAGCTGATCTTTATCATTTGCTTGAAGAATAACATACCCCAAAGTGATACACAGAGGAGGTTTTAGCAGTAACTGAGAGGCAATATAATATCGTACACTGGCTTCTTGATCATTCAAACAAGTATCAATTAACCTATTGATGTTTTCACCAATAAAAGGAGGCGTTTTGAACCGATAAACCATATCAACAAGAAAAGTAAATGCTGCATGACGCATCTGGAAGTCATTCAAATAAATTAATTGGATATTTTTGTAAAATGTAAAGTACTCACAAAGTGGAACTCTCCAATGTCTGCATAACTTTAAAGCATAGGTTACATGTTGTGTCTAAAAATAATTTCAAATCAAACCGGAACATATATGTTCGGCTGAGAAAAGGCCCAAAATATTTTAGGATCGAGCGGAATGTGGAAGGTTCGCTGCATCTATAAATAATATACATTTCATTTTTCCTAAAAAACTGATATATATGATAAAGATTATGAAATTTCATTATTTATGACCAATGGCAGATGTATTTTTATGCATTATGATAAAAAATTACTAACATGATATATTGCTTGAAGTGCAGTAATACCTATTACACGTCCAAAACTAGGTTTTAGCGTGTCCATGTTTAAGGCAAGAGTGAATTCTGATAGTAATTCCCTCATTTCCTTATTTAGTGATAAAGGACTCATATTTGTATTATCTCTAGTTTCAGCTTGAACTAATGTAGCAGCTAAAGCATTTATAAGTGAGGCTCGATAGTGGTCATCAGAATACCTGAAAAACTTCCATAATATTAAAATACAAAAAAGCTGAATGACTTCGATAATTTGAATATTTGCAAATTTAAGATTATTTGAGAACCAAACAAACTGTTTACCTATTCACCGAATTATCATTATATCTGATAAGTCCGAGAAGGAAATTATGAACATCTAACAGCGAGTTATTTGAAGGAGAACGTAACCGAGCAAGGGCTTGAGGTATTGCCTATAAAAAACAACTATTTTATAGAAAAGGATGAAGAAGTACTAGATTACATGAGAACAGAATTTGTTAAAAAATTATAAATTTCGTTTTATTCAACAACACATAAAGAGAGGTTAAAACTCAAAAAAAAAGAGTCTTTGGAGAAAATTTGATTAAAAAAAAAACATACTAAACCCAAGCAAATGAAAAATAATAGCGTTAAATCTTTTTCGAATCATAAGCAGAATAGTGTATCAATGAAAAACTTTGTTAAAACCAAGTTTTTGTGAATGTCAAACAGTCAAAAAAGTGTAAAACTGATGTTGAACTAACATGCATTAAAAAATATAGCTGCAAATTGGTTGAAGTGGCAACGAAATTGTTTGGTCTCGGAATATGAGGCGCAGATTTACAGCCAAAAATTTTTTTAAATAAAATCATTAGAGCTGGTGGACCAAGCCAAGTTTCCGGCAACTTATTCACAACTTCTGCCAAAATATAAGCTGCATAGCATCTTACTCTTAAAAAAAATTACATGTAGACACAATTTTCAGTGCTAGAAAGCAGACCAATAAGAAGTACGAACAGAACTAGAATAGAAACTAGAAAAATATAACGCAACAATATTTACCGATAGAAAAAAACCTCATTTTCGATGGTTTCAATAAGGACAGCTCTAGTATGTGGGCTAGGAAACCGTTGCAAAACATGAAGAGCTTGAAGCTGAGCTAACACATCTCTTTCATGTTTCAACATGTATTCCCACTGATAAACGGGTTGTTGCAGATTTACCTTGCGTAATAAAAGTAAATCCGGATCAATCCTACAAGATTTTGACTGCTAATTCAAAACTGCTACATGAAAGTAACATGCAAAATACATAAATAGTGTCAAAACCTGATCCACAAAACAGGAGAATCGGGATCCATATTTGCTAAATCAATTTCAAGTTCTTCACCCGTAGAAAGTGGAACTTTTTTCTTCTTCTGTCTTCGTCCCTAAAAGCGTCAATTGCATTGAACAATTTAAAACCTGAACAAACTGAAAATATGAAAAAAAGTGATAAAATATGACTTCAACCAATTTGCAACTATATTTTTTAATGCATGTTGTTATTATCTTTATTGGGGTCAAAAACGTCGTATTATTTGAAATATTTAAATATATATATATATATATATTCTTAAGAAGTCCTCGCCTTCGAATGACATTGTAAATCATGTTTTGAATAATTCGAATCAATTTGAATAGTGTGTGTGAAGGAACCATCTAGTTCCTGAACCACTACAGTTAATGGACCAACATAACTGAAATATAATAAATTAGCGAAGTTAGAATATAGAGCACAAAGATGCTAAAAAATTTAGCAGAGAATAAATGTACAGAATGAATTTATGCGATTATTTAAATAATACTAAAAAACTCCAGAGACCTTTGCCTTCCACGAGTTGCAGATGATTCTTGCTTCACTTCCAATTCAATCATATTTCGTTTACGATTGAAAGAATACCGCACCTGAAAAATGAACTTTCAAAAATTTTCAGCCAACTCTACATGCAATAGAATCGAAAAAAAAATCCTGGAAAACTTAATTTTGAAGTGCAATTCTTGTTACAAAATAATTCCTATACAATGAAAACAATTATCATTTTCAAAGAAAATTTGCTTTTTCACTGAATTTTAGGCTATATTTACTTCTCATTTTATTTCAATCAACTAAAAACTTTTTTGTCTGACATATGTTTAACCAAAACTGGTGCTTACCCAGAATTTTGCGTGCCCACCACTATGTATCCATTGCTCCAAAAATGTTGGTAATTCTTGACCAGTGACACTGGAAACAGTTCGAAAAAAAGATTCCGTTGAAACAGCCATATGCTGCCAACTGGAAGGATCTTTTTGCAGCTGACTGGCTTGCATTGCAACGCTGAGTATTTTCTGAATCACCTGAAAATACGTTAGTAATGAATCATAGTTTCATCGAACTTCACTATGATTGCTAAATTTCAATATCTGCAATCACTATTCTATGAAAGAAAATTTATTGACCTTTTTATGAATCCACAAAAAACGTGTCATCCATAACTTGTGTTTTTTACTGTTAGAATAAAAATCATTAACCTGCAAAAACAGCTCTTTGCCCAAACGCTGGCTAAGCATGCGCATAACCAGATGACCTTTTTTGAACAAAGCATCTGCATATAAAGGAGAACATGTGTACGGATTTCTCGGATCAAAATGCAGATGTGGCTGAAGAAATGATTGTTACGCTTTTTTGAAAGAGACAGAGAAACTATTTGTTTCACAACGCTAAATGAATATGAAAAAGCAAAATGTGAGCACATCACTATTGTGCGATTTTATTATTTCAGAGGTTAAAAAATGAAATAGGGAAAGACAAATATTTTATATACACACATTAAAGATATATATACCACCATGCATTTCATATGAAATGTATAAAACTTGTTTCCACGAATATTATAACTCTTTTCAAAATTTTGAATCTAATTTCTTAATAAATTAATCAGAATTCTCATATATCCTCAACGAAGTTACCTGATAGTCAGTACTTGACGGCCTCAAAATAATCTTTCCCCAACGTGTCTCGTAATCACAAACAGAACTGAGTATCTTACTGATCTATAAAATGATAAAATTAACCAAATTTCAAAGTATATTAATAGTTTCAAGCAAAAAAATATGTACTTGAAAAAGATATTCAGCAGATCCAAAAAATCGTTCTACAAACATTCCAGTAACAGATCTGCAAACATATATATCATCAGCACTCTACGACGTTTTCATATTGAAAGCAAACAAAACAAAACTGAATCGTTTCGAAATTGAATATCATCTCAACAACTTGATATTTTCAGAACAAATTGATATTGGCAATATCAAGTAAATATGCAGTAACAGAAAATTTTCCCCATAAAAATGAACAAAGGAGTGTAAATACAGAGAAAAAGTAAATTCATGTCCTGCTAAAATTCATCAGCTTAATTTGATGGAATACTGACTATAATACTTCAATCAATACGAATGTCTATTTGCGAATGCGTAGAAATACTATCAAGTGATGTACTAATTAAAAGTTCTTGAAGCATACAAAATGCAACCTCAGTTTAGTGCACAAACCTTGCAAGCGAAGACACCAGCCATATATCTAACCAACATGTAGAAGTCACAAAACATCCAAAAAACTGCTGCGCTACAGCAAAGGCAAGGAATTGACGTGTCATCTGAGAATTGAAAAATTATTTATAAATAGAATGAATAACCCAAAATACCGGTACTTTTAATTAGAAAAACCACATCAGATCAAATTAATATGAAAAATATAATCTTTCTTCTGAGTTAAGTGACACATTAAATGTTTACTTGCACAACGTCCAAAATTTTCTTATGGTACAATAAAGTAAGTGATATTATTGATAGACCAGTATACGCAGTAATTTCATCTGGAGTCTAAAAAATATTGATTCTGAAAAAGAGTGAAAGAAAAAACAAGACAAAGTTCAAAAGCTAAATCAAAACTAATGATTTTCAATTCTGTTCGAATGGAATGAAAAAAATGCTCATTTTGCAATACGTTAAAATTATAAGCAAATTCAGTAGTGCTAACAAAAAAAATATTCCAATTTCTTCTGCCAATTTTTTTGACTGTGATTACAGATAAACGTATGACACTATCTAGAAAGACTGCTTTTTTTTGTTACACATTTATAAAATTTCATCCACTAAAATACAGTTTTAACTTTGCACCTGGTAGACAAAAACTTGTTTATATGACGAATACGGAAATCGACAAGACAGAAGTTCTTCGAAATATTCGAAAACTCGATCAATTGTTGCAGCAGTATGTCTTACGAGAGGATGAAGCGATGGAAGTGCGAAACTTGTTATCTATAAATAACTGGTTGCTATCAAACTGTGGTAAAACTCTTTTTCCGATAATTTGATTGAAAATAAAGTATAATCGTACCTCGGACATATCAGGATGAACAACTGGGGTAAAAGACCCAATTGCAAAACCGATATTTACAGCAGATGTTGGCACTAAAAGTTGGTAATGGTAAATTTTTTCTTGCAAATCAACTGTGTATTCTGTATCCTGCAAGAAATAATTTTGGTAGAGAAAGTATTGCTGATTATGAGTAATATAAAAATATTGCTTATTTCAAAATTTTTAGTGAGCAAACTGGAATTAATGAAATTTTTACAAAACAATAAGTATTTTTCACAGTAACCAAAAGCAACAAAATATTTTTATTTAAAGAATACACTGTTCAGTAATAGAACAACCAAAAATTAAAATCTAATGGAAAAAAGCAATTCATGAAAATCCCTAATGACGAGAATACAATAAAGAACTTACAAACAATTCACCACTAGCAACAACTGTAAAAATATTATTGACAGTGGCTTCGATTCGCCACAAACATAACTGGTCGAGTGTATCCATACAAGGTAACCAGTGACGTGTACTAGATAATGTACTGGATCTAAAACTATACAAAGCTTACACATTTAAAAACATAATATGAGTCTAGAAAACGCCTATAAGTTGCTTTTTGTTTGTTAATGTTAATACTCAGTACACTAACACTGTAGTCTAAACAATAATTAACTGAGCAAATTGTTGAAACAAAGCATATCAGAAGATAAATTAATCAAAAAAGTTTGAAATCTTTTTTTTCTAACTATAAATTTACTAATTTTTGCAGAAAAAATTTAATAAACATCTGCGTTTGTAAAAGTTGAGATAATGAAGCGATGGAAAAATTGCCACCTGCTTGCTTAACTCAAAAAAAAAAAGTTTCTAGGAATAACCAAATAATATACCTATATGTGTACATATGTGCTCCTTCTTGTAAATCATTAATATCAGAACATGAAAAATGAATTCCCTGAAAGAATAAGTGAGCTATAATTTCAAATTTAGAAGCAAAAAAAAAAAAAATTTGAAACTGTGAAGGAAAAGTCAATTTCGCGTTCAAGTCAAATGACAAAAGTCTTGTAACTAAAAAACTGACTTCATTACAAAGTTAATTAACAATGATAGCCTAAATTTTATAAAAGACTTTACTGCATAACTCTATTTACAAACACAAAAAATCTAGAACTCCACATCCATGAAGCCTGAATAAAATCAAATTTATCTCCAAACTTGATATGAAAACCAACATGCTTTGGCTTTATAACTTTGACATCAATTCCAATTTTAATAACTCTTTGTTCATCCATTGAATCATAACAGCTTTCCGGAACGTTAATCATGAGCTCTCCTTCACAGTCCTCCAACTCATCGTACATAACGTGTGAGAGCCGATTTAAACTCTGCTCTGATATATGACTTAATATCTAAAACAGACACATTCAACAATAAATAAGGGTAATAGCATGTAAAAGTGACTCTTTTACACGAATATTGGCATAAAATGAATGAAAAATCAAAATTGTGTCGTCTAAATCAATTTTAACTTACTCTGAGAGGATCTTTCCGGATGTACTCTGCATCTTCATCATTTACAGTGACGCGGCCAGTGATACCATCAGGAAATTCACAAGGCAATAAAATATCTTTAAAAGTACAAATCAGCTCAAATAGTAATAACAGAATTTTATAACACAAAATAAAACTTCGTCTGAATAGCCAAAAACTAAAGTAAGTGGCGTGATATGCAATTATAATCTTTGAGAATTTTTATAGATGAAGTTGGTTTTTCAGAAGGACACATATATTAGGAATTAATCATTTTTAAAAGCCAATAACAAACCTGGACCAACATTGAGGTAAATCTGCCGTAATTCAGGATGTAAAGGAGCCAAAGAAAGTTCAGTGAAAATGGAAAATGATTTTTCCTTAAAATCTATATCCGTTATTGAAACGAATTGTGAGAGGACACGAAAATTACAGTTATGAAATGAAGATGCATCCTGCGGACTTCGACGTCGTATCGTTGCCGACTGCTCATTACTAGCTGATTTTTCAGTCGATTTTTCTGCTGATTTTATTGATGCAGGCTTCAGCATTGTCATACCAGAAGACGAAGGATGACTAAGTTCCATATCCTCCAAAATCAAACTTCATTCTTGCACATAGCGTAAAAAATTTACAATGATTGAATAAATTTGCAGAGAAATTTGTTTTATAAAAATGCATGAAAATGTAATTTAAAAAGTTATAATTTAAACTTACGTTATCCAAATCTTATGCAAAAATCAACTAGCAAGAATAAAATACGTAAAAAGTTAAGAAAACAAACAGCACGTAACTATAAGTGATAGAAGACTACAAAATATCGTTCAGTTTTGATAATTTGTTTCTTGAACAGCTCGTAAATCAATGTTACTATCAAATACTATTCGCCTCTATCAATTTTTATTCAACATAATTTTTGTCTTCTAACTATTCTCCACATGAATCAGTCGATTTAAAGCAACTTCGATAAGTAATATTTATGGCAGAAATTACGTCTATAAAAAATATATCAAATGGATATTAGGCAGTGCCCACATGAAGCGAAATAGATACGAGCAGTTTGCAAATAAATTAAATTTAAAATTAACTTTTCTACAAATACAAAAGAGTGGACTTATGGCGTGTACTTGCTCTACATGATACTGATCTACATCAATGACTTCAAAATAATAATTGCTTTCCAGATTAAGGCTATTACAATTTGAGCTAAGCATAACCTTACTAAAATTAGATTTATTAGCTTGAAAGGCAAGAATAATAACCCTTGCCCAGCCTAATTAAATGTAAAATTAACTTTAAAACTTAGCCTAATAATATTGCTTTTTCAAAATAAAGCCCATACTCAACGTGAACGTTAAGTATATTTTTCTTGGGTAAATGTCATACCATCAAATGATTGAGTAATATTATAATCTTGTTTGAATGCATATTCACGTCGTTCTAATCTCAATCTTAACATTGTCTACTTTGCATCCTGCATTTGAGTTTGTGACAAAAAATATTTATTTCCGTGTTCTTAAATAATTTTCATTCTCAGCAACCTCTTCACTTAGAGAGATGTCTTAAGATTATTTTTGCATAATAGATCAGTGTTATTTATCTCTGCTTAACTTTAATTTCAAGTTATTCGTTCATTTGATCCAAGAAAGTTACTCATTCACTACCAGTGTGCTGATGGCTATGGAAGCAGTGTGTGTATTCTGAAAACAACGATCGACTTTTATTATCTCTCAAAAAAGTTAAAAACGAAATCACTTTAGACATGAAATTGTACACAAGGAGGATCGCTGTCGTTTCCATGTCTTAGTGCTTATTATTTATTGTATGTTTTTATGTACAAACAAATATTTTTAAACATAACACTTGCTAAAATTATCTTAATGCCTTTGTTGTTTCATATCTAACAATAAGAGTTCACTGAGCGGTTGAAATGTTGGGACTGGCATAGAATTAACTGTATTGGCCTGTAAAATGATCAACTGACAGCATTAAATCAACTTTTGAACTTTTTTAATTCAGTCTTTACTTATTCAAAAATTAAAATTAATGTATTGTTAAATTGAGTAGCAGAATAAATTAGTGATTCTATCACAAAGCATATTTGACTCTTTTTGAGTTTTTAATGCTATGAAAAGATTTTAATATCAGCTTAATTATAATAATTTATTTCTTCTGATAAATAAGCTTTTTATTTGTAATTATGTCTGATAACAAAATATAGGTATGGAAATTTTAATTGAAACAATAAAACTAAAATAATGTGTCATTGGATAAAGTTTCGTATTTAAAAGAATATTTAAAATTGTAACATCTTTTAACTTAATTAAAAAAATTAAATATATATTCTGCATTTAATAAATAAAAAAGCAATTTGTACTAACCGTAAATGAGGATATATCAATTGAGCTATCTGAGGACAAGGAAACATTCATTTGACTTGCTGGACTCAGAATCTCATCTACTTTAGCATAAATTAAATCATTGATTTCAGAATCATTGTTGATGGCCTCTAGATAACCCGTAACACGTTCCTTATTTGAGCTTTCATTTGAATCAAAGTACTATAAAAGTATTAGAGAAATGTTTTTTTTCTCACAAGATTTTTTTCCTATTTTTTGATTTTTGTATAAAGTAATTATTATTATCACTGTCCATTTTTGTAGCTAACGAAATCATTATAAAAATAAGTCTATGAATATCTTTTTTTTTCTGAATTGAATGTTTGTATTCAAAAAGTAATATCTGCTTCGGAATTATTTGCAAAAATAATGTGCTCATTCAATGACCTTGTTCGGTGTAACACCGATTTGATTAAGGTACTCAGTGACTGAACTGGTTGCTGATAGATCATCAAGATCAATACCCGAATCAGGCATAGAATGAGGTATGGAGTGGTGTACTGTTTGGCTTTCCAAAGGCCTAAAGTTATTAAGTGATAACTTATATATTTCTAGTTACTTCTGAGGGAAACTGAAGTGAAGCACAGAAATAAAAGGCTTAAATGTGAAATGCCTAATTGTTAAGAATTGGAATGCAATCAAATTATAAAGTTAAGCATATGAAATTATTTTCAGTTATTAAATAATATACATGCATTATGAATCTTACATATGAAAATAATGCACTTAGATAACCTTTGGAAATTATCTGAGAATGAAGGATTTACCGTTTAGATAGAAGTTTCGTAGCACAGTAGCCAAAATTGGTGTTGGATGCTGGCAAATTCTGCATAAAATAAAATGTTAAGTTCTGCTTGAAAGTAAATAAATATGAGATAAGATAGGAACTGTTGTCCAAGTTTTGATATAAAACTTTATATTTTGAGTGGAAACAGAAATGTATAACCTTAGATCTGTCTGAAAAAGATGACGAGGACAGAGCGAACTGCCTCTGACATTCAAATTTCGGAGATCGCTGACTTAAATCTCTGATCACCGAAATATTACCTTTACTTACGCTATAAACCTGTAAAAATATTTATACATTTCGCTATTATTAAGTTTAAAATTTGCATAGATTTCTAAAAAGTATAGTTAGGAGATAATTAACATATCTACGTTCATTTGTATTATTGCGGAATTTTGGACAGTTTTAAAAATAGTTTTAGCATTTTCAAGCTCAATAAATATAAATTCTGCCGAATAGATTGGACCCATAGCAGCTTGTTTGACTTATTTACTCAAAAAACAAAATAGAAGTTGGCAAAAAGAAAAATTGACTTGCTTGTTTGTTAGATTTTGTACGATTTTTCATTTTCATATTGATGATCAGCAAGATAAGGGTAAGCAGTAAGATGAAAAGTAATATTAACGATCCAACTGTTAGCATTTGAGTTACTGTCGAATTGCTTGATACGGTTGATACATCCATCTGATAGAAATCACCGATCTTGAAATACAGAACAGTAATATAAGTACGACTTTATCTATTATCAATGAGCGAGTATTGTAAAGTTATGTGCAGTACAAAAACTACAATAATTTAAAAATAAATCAAACCTGAATTAGTACTTTTGTACGAGTACTTTGCGTTTGACTTGAACTTGCGATTACGACCAATTCATCGTATGTTATATTATTGCTATTAATTATTCTGAAATTATGAATTTTACTCAAGTTTCTGTCATTTTGTTTTAAGATTTTAATTTAATGTTTTGTCATAGAAATAGAAAAATAAAAATTAATTGAAAATAATTTGCCTAATAAACAACAGTTTCGCGCGCATATCTGCCATACAAAGGCAAATCTTTAACTTTTTCAAAAATGATTTGTAAAATCAAAAAGGTAATTTAGTGTGACCAGTTCATTTGATCGTAGTAAGCTGAGAAAGTGGTATAACATTAGGACAAAATTTTTTTCCGCAGTTAGTGAGATTCCAAAATTAAATATTATGAAAAGACGCATAAAATATGAATTAATCAAATTTTCTCAAATATTTTTAGTTAAAATATAAAATCTAATGTGAGTAATTAGTGAATAAAGTTTGATTTCAGAATTGGGCATAGTTGTAATTAATCAAATTGCGTAATGTAATTTTAATAAACTTTGTTAATAAATTTGGTAGTTTTATCAATGAATTATTCATCTGTTATTGTTTTATCAGTTTGCAAGTCTCACAATACTTTTTTTGGATTACCCGAAGTCAATTTCTCGAGATAAGGCAACTTGACCCGTATCTGCATCGATGCTTAAATATTTTGCTGCATTTCCCTGGATTTCATATCGAATCTTGCCGCCTACACCAAAATCCTGATCTAGCGCTGATATTATTCCAACTCGTTGTCCAACTTGAGAGTTTTTCGGAATCTGAAATATGCTCAAATCAAAGAATTGTGGAATAAATAATGACATTATTTACGAAGTCAAAAAAGGTTACTAAATTGCATTTTATAATCTTTGCTTATGGGAAAAGTACATGCTTTAAGTATATGAATTATGGAACTTTAAACTGCTATTTGCAGTGATTTATTTTTCTTTATTTCTCCTGAAAAATTAATGAAAATAAAAAGCTAATGTTAAGATCTCTATGTTCCGAAGCACTGAATAAAAATGAGCAGAAAAAATACAGGCAATAATAACAGCTTGTAATAATACGTGTATCTGACGTTTTCATAAGTAAATCTAAGTTGAGAAATTCTTTATTGTGTTTGGACCAATAAAGTATTTTAAGTTATCATAACAAAACATAAAATGAGAGTTACTTTTAGAAGCAAAAAATCACTTACTTGAAGCACGTAATCACGTTTCATGAAAACAGGTGGATATTCATCGACTCCATGAACTATAACTTTAACCGATGCAAATGCTGATCGATCTTGATCATCTACCACACTTAATATGAATTCATAACGCTGTTGCAATTCAAAATCCAAACGTTTCATCAGCATTATATAGCCGGAACTTTTGTTGCAACCAAATGACTACAATAAAATATTATTACTTAATATATAAATATTTATAGCATTGAATTTAATGCAAAGTAATTTGGAAGCTTATTAACTTTTATAAGGAAAGTCAAATATTTACTACTTACCTCATCATTATCTTTCAACGCATAAGTCCAATTATCGCCATGTATTCCTAATTTATTAACAGCTTTCGAACGCAAGATGATACTGCCTTTGGGTGTATCTTCGAATACATGTATTTCATATTGCGAGACAATAAAAAATGGTGATTTTATAGAAGTGTAATCAACGTGAAGTTTCACAGAAACTGTAGTCCAGTTCCATTTACTTGGATTACCATTATCAGAAGCAGTAAGTATCAAATCACTAAAAGTAGCGTTTGAGAGTATTTCTTCATCTCCAATAGTTTTCGTAAGATACAATTCTCCAGATGAACTATTTAGGTGAAACATTCCGTAATCGTTTCCAGATAAGATCTGATAACTGATCCTTGCGTTATCACCTTTATCATTATCGCCAGCAACAAATCTACAGATATATTTATAATAATATTTTGCTGAAAATGCGTAAAACTGTCCAACTTAAGTATAATAAATGGAATTGAAAAGTTTTGTTTTCTTTTACAAATATAAAATAATATTAAAAAAGTGAAAGAATAATAATAATAAGCAGTGAAAATTGGAGTTTTATACGGTCAAAACAGAACAACGTCTTCAACAAATACTTAACTGTATAAGTTATCTCTAAAAATAAATTCAAATTTTTATCAAATATAGAGAATTATGACTTGATTTAGCAGCAATTCATGTTAATAGCACTTAAGTTTATGAAAAAATTAGTACTGAAGTATTTAAAAAAATGCAAATATAATAACTATATTTATATTTATTGGAATGAGAGTTAATTTTATTTAAATGTCTGGTTTTAATAATAATGTTAATAAAAAAATGCCTGTAATAAGACAAAATAACTTGAAGAATTAGTAAAAGAACTTGAAGGATTAGAATTAATAACTTGAAGAAATATGTTTCTGAGTTTTTATTATCAAATTAAAGCATTTAATATAATAAACATACTTTGTTAACACATCGTTTGTATTCATTTTCTTATCAATTATTATCTGATCAACTTTTTCAATGAAGTATGGAACATTGTCATTGTGATCCATTACATTTATGCTTACTTTAGCTGATGAATTTGCAGATGCTAACGGAGACAGTGCTTCCACCTGGGAAAATTTTTTATCCAACAAATAAATTGAATATATGTTCGTCTTACAAAATTAAAAACTCGAAAAGGGAAATTCTTTAAGCAATAAAACTGACTTCAAATTCAAATTCATTTTGAAGACTAGCACTGATTGCCTGCTTTAAAAAAATTGATCCATCATTTAAAATGCCAAAAATATTTGCAACTTCGGGGGGTTGAATTTTCAGTGTTACACTCGTAGATGCAATATCAATTAACGTCAATTTGCCAAATCCAACGTGTGGATGAGTATTTTCAGGTATGGCAAAACTAAAATCAGTATTAGCCTCAATTTTGTTAAAAAAATTAAATATGATTATACATAATTACTATGACTTTGTAAGATAATCCAAATTAACACATAAAATATCAAAATATTGTGATTTTATCAGTAGAGCACTGCTATTGCTTTTACTGCTATTTCTAGATCACAATCATCAATATCAATTATTGTTATCATTGCTATTATTTTGGTTCAAAATAGTATGTTAAATGACAGTAATATACAACATTATGTCAATGTATTATTGCAAGTATTTGTGTTACTTTATTTCTATCCTTATCAGTAATGATATTATTATTATTATTATTGCTATGCTGTTGTTATTGTGAATTACGATCAGCGTCATTATAGAAACCAAGGAGTCAATAAATTTGCAAGAAATTTATAGAAAAACAAAGCTGATTTTACTTGAATGATTTATTTGTAAATCTAATAGGTTTCCGGCTGAATTCTTCTCCACCGACATCTATTCGAGCTAAACAAACTGAACTAAGTGGTGGTTCACCTTGATCTGACGCAAGTATCGTCAAATGATACACCGACTGATCAGTCAATTTCTCAACTACGATCAAATCACCTGAAAATTATTACTTTGACATTTAATAATGAGTACTATTATTTTTTGTCCGAATAATTGTAACTATTTAGGCTTACTTACTTGCAATGTTTGCTCAGTTAAGCAAATAGCACTTATTTGTTAAACTATTAATTTTTAAACTAAGCATTGTTAGTAATGACTGAGTAATGACGAATTACTGATGATGAATTTTTACAAGACTTTGATTTAAATCATCTCAACCTGATTCATGATCGATTTTGAATTTACTAGAGCTATTAGGAAGTAATCCGTATTGGACTGATCCAGCTAATCCTGTGTCCGGGTCATCTGCATGTATCTTTGCTATGATCGAATTTAATTGGATATCGCTGGAAACATGGATTAAGTAGAAGTCTTCTTCAAATTTTGGTTCATTATCATTCGCATCCTTAACTAATATACGTAATGTTGTACGTGAAACATTTTCACCATCCGTCACCTAAAAAAATATTTATATAATTGCTAATATTATTGCAACTGCTACGATAATTGGTACTGTTTTGACTTTGATTAATAGCAAAATTCTTAATTATTAAAATACGATTTCTAAAAAATAAAGTTGCTTGATATTTTATAATTAAATTAATATCATAACTATAATTGCTACTTTCTAAATTACTGCAGTAGTTGCAGATGACTTTATAAAGTAAAATGCAAATAAAAAGTTGTAAATGAAAAATTTGTTAAAAATGACATTCATAAAAAACCAAACTGTTGCACAATTTACGAAAAATACAATATAATTTCCGTAAAAATAATTTACGTGAAAATGCTGCAAAATGGAGTAAATTACCTGAATTTCAATATTGTGCTCTTTCTCGATCTCATAATCTAATTTTCCGATCAAAAATACTTTACCAGAAAATGGATCAATCTCAAAGAGATGATCACATGAGAGCAAACTATACTCCAGTTGAGTGTCAACATCAACATCTTTCGCTGATACGGTCGCTACCAAAGTACCATAATTTGCGGCTACAAAAAAAATATGACACTTTGAAAGTTATGCTTTCATTTGAATTTAAAAAATTAAGTTTGAAACTTATTATTTACATTCTAGTAAAACAGTCAACCAATGTTGTACGATTTGCTCACACTTTTTAAACTAAACATGAAATATGATAATTATAAATTATCAAAAGTAAACCTAATTAAAAATGCAAATGTAAAATTTTAAATTTGCATTTTTTCATCTTTTGTCAAAGTAATATTTACTTAAATATCGAAAGTACACTATTTTTAATAATTAAATGTAGAATTTAATTTAATATCTTACATTCAGATACTGTGAAAGGTTTCAGCACAGGAAACGAAGGAATGTTATCATTTCTGTTGACTACTAAAATAAGCATACTGTAATATTTAAAATATATTTCATATGAAAAATTCAAATGCTTTCAAATTTTAGATATTTCTATTGATTGATGAATTAGCCTCTTACAGTATGCTGACAATATCTAAGTTTCTGCCGGAAACGAATACAATAATAGTTTTTAAAATATCGTTAAGAAAACCTTTTTTAATTTTCAAAATTTCACTCTAACGAAAAAATGCAACAAAAATTAAATAATTAACACATTGCGAGACTGCATATTTTTCTAAATTGCTATCTAATAATAATAAATGTGATCAACAATAATAATAATATCAAGCAGTACAGTTGCTGATCTTACATAGGCATAATTAAAATTTAAGTAATCATAATACTGTGTCGAAAGTTCAACAAATAAAAAATTTTTTGACCTCTTATAAACACATCTGTTTCAGGAGTATTTTTAAAATTACTCGACATCTGAATTACTTTCAAATTGTAATTATTATTAATCTCGTAATCTAATTCTTGTGCTGTTATGATGCGTCCTTCCTCATCGATACCGAACGCTGAATCCATATTACCGCTTACAATACTGTAAGCAAGCGGTGAATCTTCTGGTAGACTATTCCAACTTCGTACCTTTAATTGGATATGGCATAATAACTTGAGAGATCAGACTATCACAGAATTTCATTATCAATACTGAATAATTTTTCTCAAATTACAAACATTTAAAAAGTCAAAACCACAATTTCCATATTTTCAAAATTTTTTGCTAATATGAAATCAATAAAAAATAATTAATAAATAATAGTAAATGTGAATAAAGAGTAAAAATGATAACTTTTGATAGTGTAACTAATAATATAAATGATAATTTTTGCATTGATAAACTGCTCAATAATCGTTGATTAAACAATTATGCTTTTAAGTGATAACACGAATATCGGAATTAATATTTCACAGAATCACGATTTAGTGCAAAATTAACAATAAATTCGCTATTGTTAAAGAATAAGATTCGATTTTTGCCTCAAGAATTATAGAGATTATTTTTGGTAAAGATATATATATATATAGAAACTATCACAAAAAAAACAACAAAAAATAATTCTTACAAAAATTACTTTGCAAAAAATGAAATTATTATATTTCTCACTTTCCATTTTATGACGTTAAATTCAAAATTACCTCTCTAAAAAATTTTTTTCTCCAACAATTATTTATGAAAGTTAATTTTACGTTAAACGTTGACTTACATTATCATTGTTAAAGAGAGAGTTTAGAATCAAATTTTAAATAAATAGCAAATACCTATGCACAAAATAGTTAATCAGAAAATACCTGAAGAGCAAATTGCCCACGTGGCTCGCCTTCATTAATAAAACCAACGTATTGTTCGCTTAAAAATTGTGGTTCCATACTTTGCTCATGAAATTTAAATCGTTTCACAAAGAGATCAATATCACGTTCAGATGACAGTACACGTGAATTTCCATGGTCTTCCGCTTTGATTTTCACGATATATTTACCATTTGGTAATGGATAATTTCTATCGAAAAATTTATATAGAGTTCAATTGTCATTATTTGTTTTCAAAATTTTTGAGCTTATAATTGATGAAAATTTTTTGAAAAAAGCAAAGATTACTTGGGTAAAGCAAAGGAAGCATAAGTAAGTCAAGTTTGACAGAAATAATTCAACTAAAATTAACCTTGCAAAAATAATTTCACCACTATCAGGTCGAATATCCAACAAACCGCTGCTATCATCGGTAATACTATAAGTAACTTTACCATTTGAGTTTGCATCGTCATCTTTTGCTGTCAACCTTATAAAAAATTAATACTTAAGCTTAATTATGAAGCGATGATGAACACATCATGAATATGTATTACTTCCAATTAAGCAAAAAATTTGCCAATCCAAAATTTGCTATGCTCAGTATAAGTAATTTAAAGTGTAATGAAAACTATATATTTATTGAAAAGTAAAAAATTTTGAATGAATTATTAAAAATAAATTATTATAAAAACTAAAATTATTTTCTCACGTATTACATATTCAAATTATTATTTGGCAAACAAAAATTTTCTTACTCTGTTAATATGTCGCCAACTTCAATATTGTCATTAATTTCAATAAATTTTGGTGTATTTTCATTAAAGATAGGTACATTATCATTTTCATCTGTTACCAAAACACGAAGTGTGCATGTATCCTATAATATCACTCATAATCTATTTGTTCATGAAGCAGAAGCAAAATCTGCATAAAAATTAATATTTATTCATAAAGCAGAAGCAAAATCTGCATAAAAATTAATACTTATTCATAAAGCAGAAGCAAAATCTGCATAAAAATTAATATTTACATAAATTAGCAAAAATCTGATCACTTGTTATATAATTATAGATAGCGCTTCAACTGAAACAAAGTTGAAGGTTTGCAGAAAATGCAATTTAGAATAATTTTTTTCAAATGAAATATTATTGAAAGTGAAAAGATAACATACTGCTCGCTTAAGTAAGCCTTGATCTTCAGCAGTGATCACTAAGAAGTATTCAGACTGACGTTCACGATCCAGTTCATGACATGACAATAAACCCGTTGATGAATTCAAATAAAATACCGACTTCTCATTTCCAGCTATTTTTTAGACTTTTTTAGGATGCATTTTCTTATTTAATTTTTAATTATTATTTTCGAATTAATAGTAATAGCATGAATTTCACTAATAAACAACAGTAATTATATGAAAAAATGCCTTTACTTCTGCCTAAAGGCGTATTATTCTTACAAAATATTTCCTGTAGACTGTATTTTTCAACATGCATTTGTAATCGATCCCAAATTAATAAATAATTATAGAATAATTTAAGGATAAACCACATTCTTACCAATTATTCGATAAAAAATGGTACTGTCAGCACTGTCATCTTGATCCCAAGCATAAATCCGAGTTAAATGTTCGGTAGCAATATTTTCGCGTATTGTAAGATTACCACAGCTTGATGAGGAAATTCTTGGTGGATATTTATTGTCAGAAGTTACTGTTAGCTTAATCCATGTCCAGTCAATTAACCTTTGACTTTTCGATGCAATCACTTAAAAAATTTCATTCCGGAAGACGTCGGTAGGAAAAAAATTTGGACTACTTTTTGCCTAATTTATTTGCAAACTTTAATAATAATTTGAAGAACTTTAGAATACTTTAAATTAAAATTTTCAATACAACTCTGCTTGAAAAGCTATTTAAAAAATAATTTTGCAAATAATGGAAGATTGAAATAAAATTAAAGCTATCATTTCTGATCTGTTATTTTTGGTTAATTTAAATAATTTCCATAAATAGAAGTATCATTCCGGTCATTATCTGAGAAATCATTTTGCTCAGATCGATCAAGCATTAATAATAAAATTATCTGATCTAATTTTTGATCTAATTTGGTGTGGCTAGAAATGTTTGCTATTCAATAACGAGGATGAAAATAAATTTCCTACAAAGGTACGTGTATTTTCCAGATGTTACTCCTTTTTGCAGTAGCAATTTTCCACTTTCTGATAATTGTAAAGGATCATTTTCAGAAATAAAGTAAGGAAATAATTGTAGATATTGCCAATTTTTTTCTGAAAACAAAACTGTCAAATTCAGAGTGATCATATATATATAAGCTTTAATAACATATCAAGCATAAGTAGTTTCTGCTTACAGAAAAATAATATAAATGAAGTCAGCAATACTTCTGAAATTTTACATCTCAAAAATGAGACCTGTAAAGATTAAATAATTCAATTTTTTAACTTAATAATCAAGACAAAAATTTGTTATTAATATATTTAACTTAACATTATTTATATATTATAGAATGATTAATTTATGGAGAGTTTAATTTCGATACGATCGTAACAGTTAGATAAAATTATCGTAATCAATTGACTGCTACTTTTGAAAGATAAGAATTATTCAAATTTCTCCAGAAGCTTACTGTTTCTTGAGAAGTCATGCAAAATTGTTTCCGAAGCAGTAGTATCATTTACATAAAAATTATATTCTTGTTGCTGGAAAAATTTCCATCGCCGATGACGTGAATCAAACTTAACAGAAAGATTTACTTCTGCGTACTTGGGAGGATTGCCATTATCACTAGCACGAACACGTAAATGCTTTTCTCCATTAAAACGATGTAAAAGTTGTAAGGCACCTGTAATTAGATTTGGTCACACTGATTTCGTTTATTTAAATAATTAATACATTTGCAAAAGCATGAATGTTTCATTTCAGTGATAGCTAAAAGTGGATTAGATTAAACCGGAATATAGCAACCAAATTAAAATATATTTGAATTCAGTCATTGGAACAACTATACTATGTTTTACATGCCACCTACATCAATTTATTATATCAAATTTCAGAATCTATTTTAATTATTTATTGAGTTTTATCGATCCATGATTTATTAAAATTAAATTGATTCCTCGCTCATTTTGCTAATTCATAAATTGCATTATGCTGAGTTATTAAAAAATGCGCACATTTTCGTATATAATTAATTATTAATTAATCTGCTTGATTTAATAGTAGTAAATGATATTGAGTTATATGAAAATATCACTGATAATCAGTAAAATTGAAAAGATTTGAGGAAAACAAGGCATTACAGTGGTTTATTTGGTGCAGAAATGTTTAATAATTCAAACTGTTATAGTGAATAAGCCTGTTTTGTAGTAAATAAATGGTTGAAGTACCAGATTTAGGGTCAATTTTAAAGATGCTGTTGCTAGTTTCTTCACTTAAAGTATAGGTAATTCTTCCATTATCACCAAAATCTGCATCAACAGCAACCACATAATGAATAATGTCACCATCAACAAAATTATCATTTATTGTTACGTTATTGGAACTAAAATACTATAAAAGGCTGAATAATTTTAATATTTTCTTTAATGATATTCAAAGTTATGAAAAGATATTGCTGTATCTATTCAAAAATTCAAAATTATTAAAGTTAAAAAATTGAGAATACTTTTATGGAAATTTGCAGCAATTCAGTAGTTTGTTATACATGAATGAAAATTAAAGTGAAAATAGCAAAAGCAATTGTAGTCAAACCTTAAAAACTTCGGCTGATGATCATTAATATCTTCGATACTAATAAAAACGACACAATTTGAGCGTTTACGTTTTTTGATATCCGGAAAGTTGTCTTCAGCTTCGACTATCAAAAATGACAGAAGCTGTCCCTATGAAAAATTATAATTTAATTTTATATTCTAATTTTTTATAATTGTAGTTTGTATTTTAATTATAATTTTATTTTAAGACAAATTGAACTTCAAATTCAATTCTGAGTTGATAGTCATCACATAGCAGTAATTACTAGTACCGTATACTGTAAATGATTCTGATAAGATAAAACTTAATATGAAAAAAGTATGCACTGTGATTAGGGCTGATAATATTTGAAAAACCTGCTTATGAAGTATTATTAATAGTTGCTGGAGTATTCTCGTAAATATCTAAATTTTAGCTGAGAAATTGATGATAGTTTGTAAGACTGAATAGTAATTATTTTAGACTAATAAACTACTGCAAATTACTGTCAATCTATTCAACAGTTACTGACAAAAGATACCACTAGTTGTAACAATTTATTGTAGATTGGAGACGTGATGTAGTTAGTTACACGTTCTTAAGCTACACCAAATTTCATTTGCAACTGTAGCGTATGGTATTCTGTATGCTATTATTAACTTTGTTACTTGCTGTTATCAGCTATTCTCATAAAACTGTAGTTGCGTGCTATTGTGAATCGCAGTTGTACTCAAATTTGGCCCCACTTATGACTGTTTAAAATAAATTCTATCGAATACAGTAAAATGACAAAGTGTTCCTTACAAAAACCAGAAAAATTTTTGAACTAATACAATTTACAAAGCATAATTAATGCAATAGTTTCGGATAAGAATCGGTGAAAACTATATTTGCGCCTAATAATACCATTTATTACCTGTTGATCATGCAAAGAACGAGTTAATAGCAGCTCAGCGGAATGAGAATCAATCGAAAATGATCCAGATGAATCTTGAATGATTGAATAACTTAAGTGTACATCTGATGTTGCGTCAGTTTCTTCTGCTTTTACTTCACCAATAACAGAACCTTAACATTTAATTCAGTTCAGTGGCAATTATCATTTCAAAAATTAACAAAATACTATTAATGTGAACAATCATTTTATCTAATTTCAAAAAAAAATATAAATGTAAAGTTTGTTAACAAAATAAACTAAAAGAGACACTAATAATATACCTGTTTGTTCATTTTCTTTTACCGTGAAAAACCGTGGACAATTTGAAAACTTTGGCCAGTAAAGATTAGTCGGCTCTATTTCGATATACACATTATGTTGCTTAGAATATGAATAATTAGGTGGAATCCATTCAAGAATTTCGAGAAAGTAGCTACTTGCGTGAGTTTGACGTAAATTTGCAGTAAGATATAAAATAGAAGTTTTGCTATCCAAATGAAATGCATCTGTCTAAAACACAAACAATATTAAAAATTATTCCTTTTTCTATCTATGTCAATTTAATAATTTTAACAACAGTAAAATTCAAAAAATGTTGTGATAAAAATACTTCTAAAATCTCAAATATGATTAGGTATTAAATGACTTATATTGTTCATCAATACCATTAAAATTTTTCACTTTTTCCATGCAAAATTGCAAATTGAAAATATCAAAATTAAGCATTTTTAATTGCTTATATTAACTAACTGTATTTTTCAGATGCCAAAATGTCCCTTTACTTTCATTTTTGCTTAAAGTTATCACCTGTGAACCAATGGGCAAAACGCGCGATGTCCTGAAATCAACACCTTCTGATCTAATAAATTAGGCATTAGATAAAACACATTAAAAATTACTCAATTCATTACCATAGTTGTGATTGCAAATAATGCAATCATATAGTAATTGGTTGATATTAAAAATTAAGACTACATTATTAAGCAATATTATTTTTATCTCTTTATACAGTAGTAAAGAGTTGAAACTGTAGTAATGCATAGTCATGATTAATAAAAATACTGACAATAATTATTAACAGCTGATCATAAAAATTAAGGTACTAATTTTAGCATAGTAATAATCATAGTAATAATGAATTACCACTATTACTATGATATGCTGTTATTATCCTTCTGTCATTATTAAATGATAAAATGATAATAACAGCAGTAAAAGCTGAAAATATTGCTGTTAAGAATTACAATTTATAATAATGTTCAGTGATATCAGACGTACCTCACTATGATAGTTTTATTACTATGATTTAGTTCAGGTAAGACTGACGTTCGGATAATAAATGTGATCTGCTTCTTACGTTCGTCATTATCCAACGCTGCAACGGTGAGAGTTCGACCATCGCTAATCATACTTGCATTGAAATGCTGAGAAGTTTGCAAAGTATTGTTTAAAATTTCAAAGTTATTTGAAATATCTGAAAATTTATTAAATTTTTTAATAAAATATAAGCATAAATTTAATTCAAGAAATTGCAATACAAAAAAAACTGAAAAATTGAGTAATAAAATGTATATTAAATGAATAAAGTCTGAATTTCAAACTGATGTTAATGAGTATTTTTATGCAAATTTTTTTAATGTTAGAAAATTGGTACTACATTATTTCTTACCACTCAATTCGATTTCCCATTTCGCGACATTTGTTGCATTAAGCGATTTTAACAAGCAACCTGTTGAGCATTTATTATCAATTCTAAAATCACTTTTAAATTTAATAAACAAAAAATGTTGAAGAACTTTTAAATATTTTAAAAATTTGTGCTATAATTTTTCAGTTTTTGGAAATAGTGTTCTCTTGATATCAATAATAAGTAGATCTGTAGAAACTTAAATTTTTGTTCTATCACTTTGATATTTTTAAATTTTAAATCTAAATCTTTATCTCTGTCAAATTCCCTTCATATCTGTAATGACAAAAAAGATCAAATAAAATTAAATTTTAAATTCTTCAACTTTTAAATTACAAACTTTTGGCGGTTATTTGTAGCGCTAACAGAATTTAAGACATGGAAGTGATTTAGGACATATAACAGATTTAATTTTCTAATAAATGTTTCTAATTCAGGTTTATTGCAGAAATTAAATTCTGTAAAAGCTTTTTCAGCTTATCAGCTGATTAATTCAGACGTTATTGACTGATTTTAATTTAAAAATAAATTTGCTATATATTTTATTACCTAACAATCCTATCCACAGGTTCCAGAAATTTTACTTTAGATTTAACTTTTATGACAAGAATTTGAATTGAACAAGTAGTTGCTCGAGCCTGCGGTCCACCATTTTGATCAAGAACTACCACTGATAAACGGCTTTCTCTTCGATTGCCTTTGTCTGATAACTTTTTCTTCACGATTAATTCACCTAAATATAGTTCGTACACCAAATTATTACTAATTATAACTTTTACTTTGACCACTTTTGTATATTACTGATAAAATGAAAATTTTGAAGTTTTAAATAAAATTTATATATATATATTTTTACTTACTTTGTTTTCAATTACTTTTTATTTTTTCGCAATATAGCACTTAATAAATTAAATTAGTGATAAATTAAATTTTATTCAGTTTCAAAATACTAGCTCGGAAAATTATTAAAATCTAAAAGCTTGACTGATTTTCTAGATTCAAAATACAGAAATCTTAGTATTAAAAGATGTTACTGTATTTGTTACAAAAATAATTGATTTTGTTTTGATATTCAACTGCAGCAATATTTTGTTCAATAAAAATTTGACTCTTATTACTAAATAAACTTATTAAAATTAAAAAATATTTTTAATAACAAAAACTCAAAATAAAAATTACTATCAAAATATACCGTTATTTCTCAAAGCAAAATTGACATCTTCCACTTGTAAACGATATATTAAACTGCTATTTAAGCCCTCATCTGGATCAGTTGCAATTACGTTATCAAACGTTACGCCAACTTCGTTATCATCAGAAACGGCAAATGTATTAACTGCTGGACATTGAGGAGAGTTATCGTTCACATCCGAAACTTTGATTGTAATCGTTGCTTGAGATGATAATTCTGGCTGAAATTGTCAAATACGAATATTAGTATGTAATTATATTCAATATGTTTGATTAGAGAGTGATAAAGAAATTATAACAGTAAAAACTATACAATGTATATATATATATATATATATA